TTGTCATTTATAATGAAATATCATACAGAAAGGACTTGTGCTATGGCTGCATGTTTAGAGTTTTCTTTTCTCAGAGTTTACATTCTTTGAAGATGTGGCCTGCTGTCTTTAGGAAGTACAAAGTAAACCATATACCAAGAGTAAGATGGTTGGCGGAGGCTCACGCCTATAATCCTAGCACTCTGGGAGGCTGAGGAGGGAGGATCGCTCAAGGTCAGGGGTTCGAGACCAGCCTGAGCAAGAGTGAGAACCCGTCTCTACTAAAAATAGAAAGAAATTAGCTGGACAACTAAAAATACATAGAAAAAAAATTAGCCGGGCATGGTGGCACATGTCTATAGTCCCAGCTACTCGGGAGGCTGATGCAGTAGGATTCCTTGAGCCCAGGAATTTGAGGTTGCTGTGAGCTAGGCTGATGCCACAGCACTCTAGCCTGGGCAACAGAGAGAGACTCTGTTTCCAAAAGAAAAGAGTAAGACTGTTGCTGTCCATCTTGTCCATCTTGGACAGCTGTGGGTACCCACTGGGGTGAATGATCATAAAAGTCCACTGTTCTCTGGGAAAAAAAAATCTCTGCTTTCACAATAGCCAAATCCACCAACTAAGCTGCTAATGATCTGGATGCTTCAGAGCAGTTGCCAAATTGCAACAACTGCTCTGTCCAAAGATACACACTATCTTATTTCTAGACAAATGCAAGCACATCTCAGATGATGGGCTTTTTCTTTTAAGACTGCTTTAAATGTATTTCATGGGAATTGTGATGATTGGTAGGAGATTGTGTTTTTATTTTCCCTTTTCTTCGCAATCTAGATGGTTAAAGTACAATTTTCAAAAAGGTAAAAATATGACTGTCACACAAATATAAAATGAAATGGCAAAGATTTTAATAAACTGATTAATTAATGAGGGAGCCAACAAGATGTTAAAACCAGGTCAAAGATCATTGAGGAGCTAGGTATTTACAGACAATTTAATTAAGGAATATTAGGAAATGATTACAGGGCTAGATAGGAAACCTGTTAAATACCTACAAGGTAACTGTAAGCTTTCAGATTCTCTTTTCCTACTGAACAGAAATTATTTGCCTCTTAAACTGGAAAACAATATCTACAAAGCAGCATATAACTTTACTAATTCTTGGCCTCTAATCACTACTTTTTATAAGACTCGAAAACTCTATTCCTTTAAATGCTTCATCTCTGCTGGATTCCCCAAGCTGAGCACCCACATTCCTGTGAAACCCAGTCGCAGCCATTTGAGGGAGGGTGATTCAGCGTGACGACTAGCCGGGCCTTGACGTTTGTTCATCATCCAGACATCTCAGTGATCATTCTTACTAAAGGTCACCCAAAAATGTGGGCAGTGGGTCAAAGAAAGCTTCCTCCTTACCCTACTTTAGACAGAAACAGTTCTCACCTTGGTTCTGTGTGACGCTTTACCTCCTAAAGACTTGACAAGAGGGGCATTACATTACTCCTCCCTATCCACTAACTCCACAAGCAGCTAATGGTGCCCGACTATGTGCTGGACCCTGAGGATGCAATCGAGAACGAGGAAAGGGTGGCCCTGCACTCCCGGAACTTACGTTCTAGTGGGGAGACAGACACTGAATCAATGACTGCCCACCCAAGGAATTAAACACAAATGTGGTAAATACTGGTGTGATCTCCTAGGATCTCAGCTACAATAGATTTTTGAGAAAAAAAAAAAAAAAAAAAAATGGGGAGAACTAGTTTGGTCTGGGGGAGGGTGTTAGGAAACACCTCTTCTAAGGAAGTGACCTTTAAGATGAGTCTGGAAAGATGCGTGGGATTTCATTGGGTGGAAAACTGTGGACTGTTCTGGAGTAGAGGAAACAGCATGTGTGAAGGACTGAAGCCCTTAAAAAGGGTGGTGAGGAAGTGATACCCAGGAGGCTGGAAGCCTGGGCAGGGCCAAAGTCACACAGGGCCTTGAAATTTGGGCAGAGCTTGGGCTTCACCCAAAGGGTAGGGGGGAGCTACTGAAGGGCAGTAGAGAGGGGAGTGGCATGATCAAAATTTGTGTTTCAACTCAAGCACTGGGACAGTGCTATACACAGTAAACATTCAACAAATGTTTGCTCAATTTGTGAAGGAACAGGTGGCTGACCCAAGAAGACACCGCATAGGATGGCTGACACCAAGAAGGGTAGACAATGTTCGTTATCTCTACCTCGGCTCTCTGCTTCTCAATTTAATCTTGTAAACTCACTGGACTCATATGAGTGATAATTTTATATCCTCCCTTTCAGTTGAGAAGTTCTGGTTCACCACGGAGGACAGAGGAAGTCTTTACAGGCAGGAGTGCCCTTCACAATACATATGCCTGTAACTCCTCTTTGGACCTTTTTTCCTTTTTAAAAAAAATGAGTTAAAAGTGGGGTACGGCAGGGAGGTGACATACTTCCTGAGTTGCATGAAAGTTACCTACTCAGAGGTGTGGAGGCTGTAGCCAATTTTGCAGTTTTGAGTAGCCTGGGTGTTTCTAAGAATATGTTAAGAAACATTTCAAGTTCCCTTGACAAAAATTTTAAAATGAATGTACCATCCAGCAAAGAGCTAATGCACAGAGTAGACTAGGGTGTAAGGAACTGGGCAGTCTCATTTACAGGTGCAGAAGTGCAAATCGATCGAAACCTTGCTGGAGGGAAAAGCAATAGCGTGCATGGGACAGCCCTCGTGGTTTTCACCCCACCAACTTCCCACCAAGAAATAAGGGGAGTTGCAAATATTTAACTATAAATATGGTCTTTTAGCATTGTTTGTAATAGATAAAAACAGGAATGTCCAAAACCAAGGATAAATGTGGTTCATCCATGCAATGGAAAACCATATTGCTATTTTAAAGTATACTGAAGAAAACTGTTTATTGACAGGGAAAGATGTTCATAATCTATTTTTAAGTAAAAAAAAAGCAGATTATAAAACAGTATATATC